GGGGGGGGGGGGGGGGGGGGGGGGGGGATCGCTCACCGATGGCAGAAATCGAGGACGAGGTCTCTAAGAAATTTACAGTTCTGACCAATAGAAATTATTCCTTCGTTCCCCACCTATCCATAATGCACAGAAAAAAAAAATGAATTCCAGTGGAATCAAGGCTAGAGAGTAACAATAAAAACACAAAACTATAATTTAGTTACAGAGAACACGTCATTAAGAACAAATCCAGAAGTAAAGATTGTTGCTATCTAGAGAGTTGAGGTTTTCAAACATATATTCAGATTGATTTTAGAATGTCTACAAGATTCAAGAAATTGATCAGGAAGATAGGATTTATAGAAAAATCTATGCAGGCATGGATACCCGTTTGACAAAACAATGGATATTTATGAATTCAGATGCTGACTATAAGAACATTAAAAACTGGGATCTTTTCCAAACACCAAATGAATTCATCTTCAAGCTTTAAAAAAAAAAAGACAATAAAAACAGAAGTACCTCTAGACTTCCGCGAATATGGAGCTCCTTCAAGTTCCTGCACCCTCTTGCTATACCACATAACACTTTGTCACCAATACCTGAGCAGTAACCCAAATGAAGAGATTGCAAGTACTTGAAGCCAATGTGAATTTCACATAGCGCATCATTTTCTATTTGCTGAAACCTCATGTGCAGCAAGTCCAACTTAGAAAGGCCACTGCATTGTGCCGTCCAAGACCACCCATCATAAACATGTAAAAACACTAAAGTCAAGACAAAGAAGTGGTAACTGTAGGTTCAAATCTCATTGGGAGGGAATGGGGGAAGGAGAGGCCGCACAACCCAGACCAGTACCAGAAAAAAAAAGAAAAAGAAAATATTGTGTGGCAGGTAAAGGCGGTCAAACTGCTTACGTGCAAGCTTTTCCAATGGATTTCAGCCCGTCTGTTGCAATATTGTTGCAACCATTGATATTAAGGTGCACAAGCTCCCTGCAACCAATAGCAACAGAGTCCAAACCCATGTCACTCAGAAGTAAGCAATACTCTAGGCTAAGTTTCTTCAACTTCTTACATCCTTTCCCTATAGCGCAAAGGCTCCTGCAGATACGTGAAGAAAAAGATGATATTAGTAAGCTAGCAGAAATATACATCCATTTTCCCTTTCTCCAATCCCACCCCTAGAACAAAAGAAGAGAAATTAGAAAGAACCAAAAGAAATAACATAAAAATCACCACAGTTAATGCAGATAAAGATAAAAGTTGTTCTACTTTAAAATATAAGCAATCTATCACATGGACTCCCATAAATGCATTAAACACACGCAATCGACACTTGAGGCATGAACGAAGGTACAAGATGAGTCCAATGCAATGCACTGGCTAATAAAATTCTAGAATAAGAAAACTGTAATGAACATTGGTCTTCCAAATTATCAGTGAAACTAACAAATCCAGTGGTGTACTTCATTGAAACTGACAAGCATACCCAATCCCCTGTAAAAAAACCATATATTGCTTAATCTCGAATAAAAAAATCAGTTCATAAAAGCAGAAATTGCATTTCGGCACCACAATGAAAAGAAAGACCTCAGTAAAATTGCATTGACAATAGTTTCAGATAACAAACAGTGGAGGTCCCATAAATGTAAAAACTGGAAGTGTAAGAGTGGAGCCAATAAATATGCTAAAATGCTTGGTGGTTGAACCAAAACTATTTCTTATAGGCCTCCAAAATTAATACATATCAACACAGGCACAATGACCTAAATTGGATGCAATCAAAGCTTCTTACTTCATAGAACAGAATACTGGTATCAAAAGAATATTTACACCACCAGCAATCAGAATTTCAAAGGGGGACAGGGGATTGCATATTTCTAAATCATAAACGATAATTAACCTGTCTGTCAATTTATAACATCGGTATAAAGATAAAAATTCCAGCAGTAAACAAAAACTTCCAACAGCTTGCAAAGCCTCACCTGTCATATTTTCACAGTGTAGTTTCAGAGATTTCAGTAGACGGCATCCTAAGGCAACAGAAAGCAAGCCTTCGTTGTGGATAAACCTTGAAAACAATGATAAGGTTTCAAGTGATGAGCAGTGAAATCCCACTGCTTCTAATGCGACATCTGTAAGACTTTCATAGGAAGCAACATCAAGTGACTTCAAAGTTCTCCCACAACCAATGGCCAACTGAACCAATCCATTGTCGGTCAAACCTAAGCAATCCCGCAAAATTATGTCTTCAAGTCGAGAACAATATTTCCCAATAGCGGCTAGAGCTTCATCGTCAACACGACACCCCTTTAAGAAGATCATGTAACAAAAGCTTAATGAGGCATAGGTTTTAAAATAAGCTGCAATGATAAGTTAATCATACATAACTACTAAACTAAATCAATATTGAATAAGAAATTTTTGCAGAATCCAAATGAACAACAGACATAAGGCTCCGTTTGGTAAGAGGGGAAGATGGGTGGAACTGAAAGAGATGGGAAGGGACTTGCTATCCAATGAGATTTGATAAATGTGGGGCAAAAATAAAAGAAAAATAAATTTTTTATTCCACTTTTTTTTCATCCCATCCAATGAGATTTGATATATGTGGGGCAAACATAAAAGAAAAATAAATTTTTTAATCCACTTTTTTTCATCACATAGATACCTTAACCCCTCCAATCAAGCAAAGGAAAGCCAACTTCCCAATAGCTTTCCTTTCCTGCAAACCATTCCAACTTCCCTAATACCACAGCCTTTGTTGTGGACGAACTCTGAAACTTCTTATAAGGTTTCAAGGGATGGGCAATGAAATCCCACTGCTTCTATTGAGACATTCGTAAGACTTTCAAAGGAAAAAAGACCAAGTGATTCCCACAACCAAGGGCCAACAAAACAAACCCATAAATTCAAAAGCTTACTTAGGCATGGCATTTAAAATAAGCAGCAATCATACATTAATCTTACAGAACTCCTAAACTAGATCAATATATAATAAGAATTTTTGCTGAATCTAAATTAACAACATGCATAAGGCTATGTTTTGCCATGAGGGTAAGCTCGGTGGTGGAATTTAAAGAAAGATGGGAAGGGAGTTTCTATCCAACGTGATTTAACATATGTTAGTAAAATAAAAGAAAATAACCCTTTTGGTCCACTTTTTTCATCCCTTTGAAACCTTAACCTCCAATCAAGCAAGGAAAACCCAATTTCCCCCATAGATTTCCGCTCCCAATAACCATTCCATGCAACTTCCCCAATACCACAGCCTAAGCAAATATGGAAAAGTATTCTAGATCTTGCTACTAAACAGCTACCTAAGCCAAGGCAAAATGTGCAAGTAGAAAAGCCAGATTGATAATCTAAATTCACATGCAATGCAAATGTACTTCACTCACTAATAGAACATTCAATGATAGTTCAGACTATAGAATGGAAGTATAAGTAAGATAATGGACAATTACCTCTAATTCCAGAGACTTCAGCAATTTACATTTTTCAGCAATAGATATTAGCCCTACATGTATTGCATCAGGAAAACACATCAACCTCAAATTCTCAAGTTTGGTAAAGCCATCTCCTACAGCAGCCAATACAGAATCTGAAAAACAACACTTTCTAATCCCATTTTCTTCAGACACACTTTCACCATCGAGAGCAAGTTGATTAATGAGATATGTTCTCCCCTGCATCACGAGCAAAGGAGGACACATTTAAACACATGATTCCAGCAAGATAACTAACGAGCCAATAAGAACAGAACTTAATTGTAGTTCTAGAATAATTACATGCAACACAACCAAGATAAAGTAAAAGCATGGACTTTATAATTCTAAACAGTTACAATAAATTGAAATTTTCACTCTAAATATGTGAATAACTTTTTAAATAAAATTTAAAAACAAAAATAATCTACAAATGCCCCAACAGTAGACAATTTTTTATTGCAAAATTTTTTAACAATACATATGAAGCAAGTAGATAGATCAAACTACCTCAAGGAGAGGTCACTTTGATATATAGATAAAAATTAGAGAATCCAACAAGTGAAGTAATCCTTTCAGATTCTTAAGTCCATTCTCAAATAACGATTACCCTAAGGAGTTAACAACCAGATCTTCAAATGCAATGCACAATCTCTGAAATTTTGAATAATTGAGCTAATTTTTTAGAAAACGTTACAGAAATGGAAGAAAATATTGTAACAGGTTTTCAACGATCTTAGCTAAAATAGAAATTTCCATCCAAAGACAAATTAATTTGAAACATCACATCCAAATCCAAAACTATTTACCTCATATCATCATACCTCCATCTTTTTCCAATTAAAGTGTTAGTAAATTCCCAATACTATGCACTTAAATCCGAAAACATCAGTTTATATTTTTTAGAGAAGTTTTCGTATGTGTAACTAAAAACTTACCAATTTGCTAAGGAGAATGGGGAGATTGTTAATGTTTACATTTTGGGAATTCACACCCTCTAACTAGCAACTTAACTACTGCATCAATCTTGTTAGACCAGCCCATCATGATGTCCCCATGGCTAAGCCTCTCAAGACTTAGCCATCACTTGCTGACAACAGAGAAAGTGTCATTGCTAGACTTCGACTCTAAACAAATGTTTTAAAAAACTGGCCAAGGCAAAGGGTTAATGGCCAAAAAATTGAACGAAGATCAAACAAGGGGCAAGACATTAAAAACATACAAAACACTGGGGTGAACCGGCCGCTTCACAGGGTAAATCTGCCAGTTTTTCATGTGAACAAGACCGTAAACAGTCAATCCTTCGCTTGTTTTAACAAATTCTAACTTTTCAAATTTTTACAAATAATTGAACTGGTTTCTAGTTTGTCCACTCAAACCAGCCGGTCCAGTCTGGTTTTGACAGCAATGATATAGATATCAAAAACTCTCTAGAATTGGCTTGTTTGGTAATTTGAATTTATCAGATCTCGTCCTCTCATTACGGGTAGTAGATATTCTTCTCTGAAATGAATAACTTCAAACCTTTTGTGATAACCACTTGATACATGCTGTTCGATTTCATTTGTAAGAAGGAGACAAAAGGTTTTGTGCAAGAATGTATTTTTATTTCCTGAAACAACAGTAGGCAGTCTAAGAAAACTGCCATCTGTCTATTAATATTAGTTAATGACGTCTATGGTTATGGTTTGCAATATTTCTTGTTTACTAATTTTCCTATCAATAATAGATTTGAACTACCAAAAGCGGGCATTTGGAACCAATTTCGATGTTCAAGGGGAAAAGGAAACACAAATAACTACTTGAGAAGACGTCTTCAGAAAGATATTGGGAAATTTTTGTAGCTTTTCGCGACATGTGCGTTCATTTGTTGATAAACTGAAAACATGTTCTGTTTCAGTTCTAGAAATCTTACTGAACTGTTTCATTAATCTTTTCATCAGAAGAAAAAACAGAAATACCAACATTGTGCTTCTGTCATTGTTTTCTAAAACATTTTAGTAAATGCACAAATAAGAGCATTCTTTATTTCCTAGCATATTAGGGAATATAACAGAGTGCATGATATAGGATCTAAAAATGCTCATTACATCTCAGAAACTTTTTCAAACCCTCAAGTGCTATTTGTATTTGTATAACACAATTATGAACTTACATAACTATGGGTAAAGCTAACCACTAAGTCAGTAAAACGCATTGCAAGCAAAATAATATCTAAAAACAGAGAAAAACTTAAACTGATTTAAATAAATGCAATATTGAAGAAAATTAAACACCTTCCCAGAATGGTTCTTCAAAGATATTGCCAAACAAAACCTAAGGGCCAGTAATTGTGCTGGTCACCTGGAGATAGGCACTAATATGGATGTTTCCTCTAAATATCCCATCCACCCCAACCCTCAAAAAATAAATAATTAAATTAACTCTCTTCCCAAATTTTAGTAGCATTGAAAATGAAGTTAAATATCTTTTCCTCCTTTCAGAACTGAAATTCAGTCTTATATTAAAGTTTTCAGTTGCCATGCTTTTATATTTCCATACCACATCACAAGGCAATTCTAGTTTTATTTTTACGTTGTAATCATGAACCTGTTTAATGAAGGACTATTCAGAGTGGTGTGACCTTTGTTTCTAACATTGTTCCTCACAGGTGCCTTCTGTACTTCTAATACCATTTATGAGCACCAATTAGACGCGCCTTGATAATTGCCTTGTCAGCAAATTCTATACTTTAAATTTGTAAGCTAAAGTACACCCATTTAACATCAACATTTAAGATTAAGAAAAGAATAAAGGCGTTATTTTTTTCTTTTTTCAGTATACAATCAAACAAATGAACTGCAGTAATCTTCTCAATAGGATGCCATACATTTTTTTGTACTTGTGGTACAACTGAGATGCCATTTCAATAATTGACAAGCTATGGTCATATTTTCCTTTTATGCTTCTGCTTACAAATTGTTTCCCTTTAAATTGCTTTCTCCCTATTTGATTTTGCCATTAGACTTATTTTGTTAGCTGATTATATGGGGATGATTATCTTTGTCTTTAATTAGGCACAAGACTTACTCCTTAGTCCTTTAGAGGATTAAATACACTGAAGTATGGTATTGGCTCGGCAGTGGCTTTTGATTATTAAAAATTGATAATTTGGAGTTTATCCAATTATTACTTTGATCTTAGTCCAGTATTTCGTGTGAAATCAAACATTTCGTGATCACCCATTGTCCTCCTTTTTGTTTCAATTAAATACCACTGCATCACTTGTCTCGACTCTTGCCAATTGAAAAGTAACATGGTCCCATTTTTTAATCAGCTATGCAGAAAAGACTACATACGAAACCTGGATTCAAATTCATAAGAATACCACCAATACAAACGAAATTAAACACAACAAAAATGATGCGAAGCTTCTCATTAACTTACCCAAATGCAAATAGATACTTACTGATATGGTAACTTTAACAACGTTAACAAACAGCTGGGACAGAAGCTTGATGTGGGCATCGGTGCTGATATAGATAGACTCACGGCTTAAACGTTCTAGACTGAGCCACCGCTTGCATACAAGAGAGCAGGCTTCTCGGCTCTCCCGCGACTCCAGTTGCCTGAATATTTGCAGCATTAACTCGTCCGGCAGGACTGTGTTTATCCAATCAAAACCCCTCATCTTTCACAATGATTTAGTCAATTTTGAGTGTGCTTTTCTCTACGCGAAGTTACAGGTGAATGCAAGAGAGATGAAAACCTAATTTCCTTACAAGATTTAGGGCGAGTATATAAACAAAAGTTGAAAGCAAAAAGAGTGAAATTCCCAAAATCTTTAGAGGTTGAATCAGCGGTCCAAGATCTGCATTTAAAGCACTCAAACTGGCAAAACTCGATCAGTCCTTTTGCATAACTGTAGCCCCCGTTTGGCGCTCTTCCAAATTTTAATATATTTTTCTGTTTTCTTTTCAACCATACAGTCTCCGATAAGTTGGGAGTGTTTGTTTTTTATTCTCAAATTCTACAGTAAATCAATTCTCATTTTCAATCACATATTTTTCAATAAAATAATATTTTCCATCACATCAATAATTTTTTCTTCTTCTTCAACCACACATTTCCCATCATGTCACTGTTCAAAAATCAATTCTTCCTCCAAAAATCCCTACCAACCAAGCACATAGTATATATAAACCTCAAGTTTTTCATTTTTTTTTCAAAAACACATTCTTTAGAAAAACATTATTTTAAAAATTAAAATCTCAAATAATGAGACCCAAACGGGGTAATGTTTAATTGTCTAAAAATATAATTGTCGGCTATTTCTACTCCTGAAGTATACAATTTTCCGCTCTTTGATAAGACACATCATTGCTCCATTTGATTTGCGATTTTCAGTTTTGAATTCTTTTTTTTTTTTTCATTTTGAAAAGCATGTTTAGCCCCTGTTTATTTGGCATTAAATCAATTCCAACTATTAGCAGCCTACCATTTTTTTACCATTGTCTCACTGCGTAGGACCCACTATTTGAAAATAACGGTTGAATTTCTCATTTTGTCAGGAGAATAATGCACAACAAACATGCTCTTAGTTTATTATCTTAAAAAAATATCTCAAAAAACTAAAAAATGTGTTTGGTTAATTTGAGTATTTGTTGAGATATATTGCAAAGTTTTCTTCCCTTTCTTTTTGCTGGCTTTTTAAGTGGTGCCTGGACACCAAAGACTGCTGGTGTAGCAATGAGACTAATCAGGGTAAAGACTTCAGTAAAATAGATGCTAACATTCACACATCATATATAGTTTTTGTTTGATCCGTAGACTTCGTTGGATTTGCAGATAAAGAGGGAGATGCATGTTCGTATCAAAGTTTTTGTAACAGTATCTGATCGTTCAATCCATACACCAAATCCTCAAAACATTTCGACCGTTCGTGCGTAATGAGATTCATATAATATCACTGTTCAAAAATCAATTTTTCCCCCAAAAATCCTTACCAAACAAGCACATAGTATATATAAACGTCAAGTTTTTCATTTTTTTTTTCAAAAACACATTCTTTAAAAAAACATTATTTTAAAAATTAAAATCTCAAATAATGAGATCCAAACGGGGTAATGTTTAATTGTCTAAAAATATAATTGTCGGCTATTTCTACTCCTGAAGTATACCATTTTCCGCTCTTTGATAAGACACATCATTGCTCCATTTGATTTGCGATTTTCAGTTTTGAATTCTTTTTTTTTTTTCATTTTGAAAAGCATGTTTAGCCCCTGTTTATTTGGCATTAAATCAATTCCGACTATTAGCAGCTTACCATTTTTTTACCATTGTCTCACTGCGTAGGACCCACTATTTGAAAATAACGGTTGAATTTCTCATTTTGTCAGGAGAATAATGCACAACAAACATGCTCTTAGTTTATTATCTTAAAAAATATCTCAAAAAACTAAAAAATGTGTTTGGTTAATTTGAGTATTTGTTGAGATATATTGCAAAGTTTTCTTCCCTTTCTTTTTGCTGGCTTTTTAAGTGGTGCATGGACACCAAAGACTGCTGGTGTAGCAATGAGACTATTCAGGGTAAAGACTTCAGTAAAATAGATGCTAACATTCACACATCATATATAGTTTTTGTTTGATCCGTAGACTTTGTTGGATTTGCAGATAAAGAGGGAGATCCATGTTCATATCAAAGTTTTTGTAACAGTATCTGATAGTTCAATCCACACACCAAATCCTCAAAACATTTCGACCTTTCGTGCGTAATGAGATTCATATAATACGAGTTCGTCCAAAAACCTTCATATATAACATATACAATGGTAGTTTTTAGTAGGTTTTTACATAAAAATTTCCCAAATATTGTCATAAATAGAAAGAATTTAAAATTCGTTGGTTAGGTAAATGTTTATGTGTTCTTAGCTCGAGCTAGGGGTGTCAACGAAACGAGTCGAGTCGAGCCACGAGCCGAAACTTGAAACTTGGGCTTAGTTCGAGCAAAAATAGTTCGAGCTTTTTTGGCCAGAGCCGAACCAAGCAAAAGCTCGGCCAAAAAACGAAAGCTCGACCAGAGCTTTCGGCTTGGACCTTAGTGGGTCGAGCCGGCTCTTTTTTTTTTGTGATAAATCTAATTTTTTTTTTTTAAGAATTTAAAATCTATGCATTTATATAGGCGTGAATTTAAAATCTATTTTTAAATTTTTTTTAATAAAACTCGGCTTGGAGGGCCCACGAGCTGGCTCGAGTCGAGCCGATTCCCAAAAATGGGGTTCGACCTGAGCCTCAGCTTGATGGTCCCGAGCCGAGCGGCTCGGGCTTTTCTCAGGCCGAGCCACGGGCCACCCGAGTCGACAAACCTTTTTTACATTTCTAGCTCAAGCATGTTCACGGTAGTAGTGATTGTTTTTCATTGTGGATATTTTGGTGAATAGTCCCGAGCCGAGCGGCTCGGGCTTTTCTCAGGCCGAGCCACGGGCCACCCGAGTCGGCAAAACTTTTTGACATTTCTAGCTCGAGCATGTTCACGGTAGTGGCGATTGTTCTTCATTGTGGATATTTTGGCGAATAGGTTGAGTGAATCGTTAGAGTACAATATTTTAGCGAACACCTTAACATTGTTACCCAGGCAAACAGACTAGAGGTGCTCAACAGCAAACAAAATGAGTGTGAGCATTTAAGAAATCAAACGCTTTGCAAGCCGAAGCTAAATTATTAATCTCTTTAGCAAGAATTACAAGCAAACTAGTTGGCAGCCGCAATGTGAAGATTCGATTCCTACCTCTTACAAGGTATGAAATTGGACTCTTTGTAAACACCAATATGACAGCTCTTATACCCTATTCTGTTGAGACACATCTCGCAATTTACCTTCTCCACAATGCTCTAGGGACAAGGCGGTGGGAGACCCTCAAGGTTGGGGTTCAACCTTTACAATAATATATTAGTTATTACTTAATAGATCTATTTTTAGCATTATCTACTATGTATTGACCAAGTCTTTTGAAGAAGAGGAAGAAGATGAAGTTGAAAATTATTCACTAACAAAGAACTTTATGCTCTAGCAAATAAGAAAGACACATAATTTCATTTTTGAGAAATTTAACCTAGGCTCCATTAAAATCAAATTTTAGGACAAATATGTTTTGAAATAGTGATTTTTGAAGAATATGTGGTTAAAAAATAATGAATTTTTTTTTATATATATGTAATATTATTTTATTGAAAAAGTGACTGAAAAGAAGAGAAAAAAATGCCAATAAATTAAAATGGAGTCCAAACATAGGCTTATCCAAATTTACGAGTTGATTGGGCTCCCCACAAATTTCAGTAGAAGGAATTTTTTGACCTCGATAGACTTCTACTTTTCTTTTTACTACCAGATTCATATCCACTTTGGTTATCATGAGTCCTAAACTGAGACCTACCTCTCATCATATGAACCTCACCATTTTTTCTCTCAACTCTCTCGGATCGCATTTCCATATCTTTACTTCTTAACAAGACTATGACAATTTCTAGTGTTAAAGTATCTTTCTCATATTTAATAGTATTTTTAACTTCTCTATAAGTATTAGAGATAGCATTTAACAAAATAATAGTTTTATATTCTTCAGATACTTCTCACCACAATTAGTGATATCTTGCATAAATTTATTGAAAACATCCAAATTGTTATCTGCATAAATTTATTGAAAACATCCAAATTGTGATCCATATCTTTTGAAGAATAGATTTTGAAGCTAAAAAAGATTTCAAGTAGAAAAAGTTTGTTTGTAGTGGATTTAGACACATAAAACTCCTCCAATTTTTCCCAAAGTTCTTGAGTTGATTTTAAATTATCAACTTTTCTTAATACTGCATCAGATAAATGTAAAATGATAGAAGTATATGCCAATTAATCCAAATTCTCTTTTTCTTAAGTAGTCAAGTTTGTAGGAAAAGAGCCATCAATAGCTTTAGAAATTTTTTGTTGAATAAGAATGCCTTTCATTTTTTGTTGCCAAATTGAAAAATCTCCTTTATCATTAAAGATACCCAACTCAAAGTGATGTGTCAACATCTCACCAAAAAATGCACAGAACACACAAACTTAGGTATGTACAGGTCACACAAATTACACAGAATAATAAGATTCATATGGTTCCACAACAATAAGCTATTCTAGAACCCCATAATTCTGTGAGAATCACGTTCTCAGGTCAAGGGAAGAAACTAGAATAGGAGTCTGGGTACATGTCTAGAATAATATGAGATAAAATAACGCAACAACGTTCAACAATTAATTCTAAAGACGACAAATAAATAATTTCACATAGAAGTTAAATACACAATGGCAAGAAAACCTAGGTTCTACCAACATGTAATGGTTACCAAGCAATGACAACCCCCAATCCTAATTATCACCCCATACGATGTTCTGTTAGTGCGATAATTTAAAGGTTTCAGCCAATTTACCATAGCGGACCAGTTCTGTAGTCCGTAAAATAGGAGAGATGCGAATTTACTGCTTTAGAGCTGTGATTTTGGCCTAAAGTAATTCAGTAAATATATATAGCAATTTCAACCGTCGACCCACCAAGGGCAAAATCATCCAACTTTTGCTGCAGTGCATGAAACGAAAAATAAACAATACATGAATGTTAGAAATGTCAAAATGAAAATTCTGTCTAAAGAAACCTTT